GACCTATTTCCCCTCCAATTCTTTGCTGATTCTCTTCCTGGGTCCTCCACACTCAAGGCTTCCCCATGGGAGGCTATAAACACTGCTGAGCAATGCACCTTCCCATCTTCAGAGGCACCTAGTGCAGCTAGACCAGGTGTGCTGTGCATAGTGACCAGTGGGTGGATTCTAGGCTGAGGATTCCCTCATTTCCTGACTCTGGCTGAGAACAGTGCATTAGGCCTCTTGCCCTATAAATGTATTTTTATTCTCCATAAAATATGCACAAAGGGCCCCTGGGCCAACCACCTTTCCTTTTCCTTTTCCCAGATAGATCTGAAGGAGCAGGGACAGCTCTTACATCGGGACCCCTTCACTGTCATCTGTGGCCGAAAGAAGTGCCTTCGCCATGTCTTTCTCTTTGAGCATCTCCTCCTGTTCAGCAAGCTCAAGGGCCCTGAGGGGGGGCCAGAGACTTTCGTCTACAAGCAGGCCTTTAAGGTACAATGCCTGGAGTGGGGAGGAGGGCATGCGGTCATGCTGTTCTCGAGAATTCAGGATGTTCTGGAAATTCAACCCCAACCCACGTTCAGAATCTGCATCACTAGAATAGGCTTTGGCCTGTAATCAACCATCAAGTTAGGGTCTTAGGGAATGTTAGAAATTCCTGTCATTGGTCTCCCTCATGGGGTTTTCCTTATCAGTCATGCAGGAGATTTATAAGGCATTCTAAGCCAAAATGGAAGCGGACCTTTCCCACTAAGGACACATGTACCTTTTGAGTTAGGGGTGGTTACTGGGGCATGAGGAGAAAGGACACTATATGTAGCTTACCTTGACTGAACCAAAGAACCTAAGAAGAAGGCCCTTTAGGGAAACAGCCTTGGTATCCAGATAGATAAATGTTTATAGCAACCTATGGTCCTGGATCGGGCAGTGTGGAATGGATTCTAAGGGTTTCTAGACTTTGTCCCCCTACACTAGTTCCAGCTCTTCAGAGGTGGGGTATAGCATGGAGAAAAAGGCCTAGGTCTAGAAGAACATAGAAAATTGGCTCATGTTCTAGCTCTAATAAGCTATGATAAGCCCTTGGACAAGTTTCTTCATGTCTCTGGGCCTTATTTCCCCTTCTATAAATTATGGTTGTTATGAAGACTAAATGTAGAGCACTTTGCTCATGTTAGGTGTTGAACAAATGTTTACTGAACATCTTCCAGATGCCAGGCTAAGCATAGAGCTTGCCCATGCATAGCTTGCCCACCTAGCCAGGACTCACTCCATCTTCGCCCACTCCCCCTGTTCTTCCTCAGACTGCTGACATGGGGCTGACAGAAAACATCGGGGACAGTGGACTCTGCTTTGAGCTGTGGTTTCGGCGGCGGCGTGCACGAGAGGCATACACTCTGCAGGCAGCCTCACCAGAGATCAAACTCAAGTGGACAAGTTCCATTGCCCAGCTGCTGTGGAGACAGGCAGCCCACAACAAGGGTACTGGGCAGAGCGAAGGGAGGGTGTGCTTGCAATCAGGGTTACAGCAGGAAGTTTTCTGGAGAGCAGAGAGACTGCTTGGGAAAATAGGGTATAGGATAAAGAAGGAATGACTTATAAGAACATTCAAGATCTGGCTTGAGAGAGATGGCTGAGATACAAGTGAGCCTAACATGTACCAAAGGGAAAGAGAAAACTAGCAAATTTCAGGGAGGATAGAGCAAATGGCTGGGTGAAAGGAGAGAGAAACCGCCCACTGGACTTGGGTTTTTGAACTGGTGCCGCTCGCTTGCTCTGTAATCTGGACTCATTTATTGGTTGGTTTGGTTTTTGTTTTTGCTTTTTTGCTGGGTTTTGCTTTGGTTTCAATTCTCTGATTCTCATTCCACTCACTGAAAAATTAAATAGTAATATCTCCATCTTAGTGTGATAGGGAGGATTAAGTAAGTATATATATATATATATATATATATATACATATATATATATAGGAGGACTTTGTAAACTGTAAAGGTATGTAAAAATGTGAGTTTTGCTCTGAATGCCCAAGACACAGAGAAGTGAGTAGTGGAAGGGAAGTCAGGCAACTGGGATGCACAATGGGCAGGATGCAACATATGGAAGAGAAGAGACAGATACCTGAGGAGGGAGTCAAACCACCATCACCATCCATGTTGTGACAGTGGACAGCAAAAGTAACAAGAGACACCAGAGGAATGAGAGGGAGGGATGAAAGTTGGAAAGGAGTAGAAAGAAGAGCTAACCATGATGTGTTAGGGCTGGAGCAGAGGGCAGGAAGAAATTGGTAACAGGGTCTCTGTTCCCTAGAGCTCCGAGTACAGCAGATGGTCTCCATGGGCATTGGGAACAAACCCTTCCTGGACATCAAAGCCCTTGGGGAGCGGACTCTGAGTGCCTTGCTCACTGGAAGAGGTGAGAGCCAGGGTGCTGGGGGGTGGCCCCCAGAAGTCAAGACCTTGGCAATGAGGGTACAATGGGGAGGTATGGTGGAAAGTCAGGAAGGGTAATGAGTGGGCATCTCTTCCCAAAATCTGTGGGACTGTCTGGGCAGCCCTCTGTGAGACTGAGGGTTGTTCTAGGGAGCCATGAGGGCTTTCCCACACCAGCACCCCACCACCCCACTCCCCACTTTCTGCAGCCGCCCGCACCCGGGCCTCCGTGGCCGTGTCATCCTTTGAGCATGCCGGCCCCTCCCTTCCCGGCCTCTCGCCGGGAGCCTGCTCCCTGCCTGCCCGCGTCGAGGAGGAGGCCTGGGATCTGGACGTCAAGCAAATTTCCCTGGGTGAGGCACCTCTCAAGGGGTGGCTCCCAACAGCTGGGTCATCGTGGTGATGTTCAGGCTGCTTGCTGCTGAGCAATTCCTTTTTCTAGCCAAGTAGCCCAGTTGCCATGACAATTATGTACAGCTTCCCCATTGCTAAAAGAGCCTTCCATCTGGTTGCTAGGGTGATGCTTACAACAGCCTGTTGCTAAGAAGCACTTCCTCTGTACCTCTCTCTCTAGCTCTCCTTGGGTTTCTATGGAAACTGCCTCAGCTTCCTGTTGTACCCTCCTGGTTCACCACGGCAATCCTTATAGTTTCCTGTCGCTTCTTCCCTGGTTGCTCTAATGATGCTGCTGACAATTTCCTGCCTCTTGGTAGGGGGGTTCTCTTGGAACTGGATTGCTATGGTGACTCACAGCTTCCTGTTGCTATGGAGCTTTTTCTTCCTTGACGGAGCAGCTTGGTTGCTTAAGGTAATCTGGAGGGATTCTATACCTTGCTCTCACCCTAGCTTCCCCTTCAGCCCCAGAAACACTTGACTCTTCTGGAGATGTGTCCCCAGGACCAAGAAACAGCCCCAGCCTGCAACCCCCCCACCCTGGGAGCAGCACTCCCACCCTGGCCAGTGGAGGGATCTTAGGGCTATCCCGGCAGGTAAGTCCCTGCAATAAGGCTGGGAATGGGATGATCTCTTCATCTACTTTCTGGGAAGGCTTTTCTAATCATTCAAGCCACTGGACTGGGGGAAGGGGCAGGAGGAAACAGTGATCTTGTGCTCCCAGCTGAGGCTACAGATTGAATTTATTGTCCAGTCTAACTCTCTCCTCTCCCCCAGGATTGGCTGAGAGGCATAAAGGTCAGAGGTGAAAAGGAATTTTTAATAAGGAGCATAGTGGATGGAAAGGGGAGAATGCCAATGGCCTGATTTGGACTTGGGTTAAAATAGCAAAATGCAAGAACTTTGGGGAGGAGAGAGAGATGAATTGACAGGCTTGTGGGGTCGGGGGAAGAGAGAGAAAATATGAATATGTCCCTAAATTCACTGCAGTTTCTCTCCCCTCAGAGTCATGCCCGAGCACTGAGTGACCCCACCACGCCTCTGTGACCTGGGTGAGTCCAACACTTCTTCCCTCTTGCATGTACCTCCCTTCCTCTCCCCAGATGCTTGGGAATCAGCTTCTTCCCTCTCCCGACCCGTCTCCCTTTCCTCTCCTGCCTTTTAGAGAAGATCCAGAACTTGGCTGCAGCCCCTCCTCTCAGCATATTTTGGGCTGGGATGGCAGTGGGACATGATGGAGGACTGGGCAAGCACTGAAGTTCTTCCCTGTGCTTCCTGGACATAGAGGAGGTCTAAGGACCAAAGCATCACTCTGCTACTGCTATCTCTAGTCTCCCCAGCTTGGTGCCTTCTCCTGCAGGAACCAGAGTGGCCACATTGCTTGCCTTCATACCCTGGAGACAGGGAAATTCTCTCTCTTGCAGTCCTTCCCCTCCTCAGCCATTGTATCCAGGACAGCACTCCCATGCTGGCCCTCCCCTGCCAGCCTGTGTTCTCTTCTTCTCACCCCACCAACTCTCCCTGAGAAGACTCATCTCTGCCAGGTCAACTGGAGTTCCTGATGACTCCATTCTGGGGGTCACAGGAAAAGGAGCTATGCAAACCATTATAGGAGGATGGGGTGGGGAATTGCAGACTTTATATATGTAATTACTGTTATTATAATACTATTGTTATATTAAATGTATTTACTCACACTTTGCCTCCGAGGAGCTAGAGCAGTCCTCTAGAGAAAGGTGATCCGAATCACTTGAGCACTTCCCTTCCACCAACCCTTAATTACAGCACAGAAAATGCAACGAAGGCTGGAAGGTACCCTCCATCTCTTACTGACCCAAAGCTGACTGTATATGAGCCTGGGAGAATGTGCCTCCTCCACAGTGGCTACCAGAGGCTCAATGCACTCTTTGAAGTTCCTCCTCTCACACTTCACCCACCTCTTGAGGCTGAGCTGGTCACAAACGGAGATCTAGTGGTCCAGCAATTTTCAAAATGAGGCCCTCAGGCCACAGTACATGAGAACCCTCAGACTATCCATTAAATGCTAATTGTTGGGCCCCATCCACGGCTACTGAATCAGAAGCCTAGGAGTAAAGCCCAAGATTCTGCATTTCTTATCAAACTCTTTGGGTAATAACTAAGTGTCTGAAAGGTGACTATTTCCTGGACGTAAGAGCCCAAGGAGGGGAACAGGACATAGACAGACACAGGGCCTGTGCCTCAAGACACCTGTTTATTGGGGACACGACTCTGCGACAGGGATGACAGGAATCGTACCAAAAATAGCGACGTCTACAGGGCCCCTGATGGGGCAAGAAGGGTACAGTGCCCCCCACCCCCACCCCTTGTACAAAAATAAACTCTCACGCCTATGGACCAGCAAAGACTGGCAGAGTGGCTCCTCAACAGGGACACAACCTTCTCTGCCAGCCCTGGGACCCCGTTCTTTGACCCTCACCTCTGCCACTTCTAAGGCACTGTGACTCCCTTGGGCTGGGTGGGTACCGCCCGCCCACCTTCCTACGCCCACCGCCCCCTCCACCTCTTGTCCGCCTGGGGCTGGGATATGGGTCCCACGCTGCCCCCTGCTGGCTGCTCTACCCAACTACCTCTAGCGCTCCCCGGCTCCGGCGGGGTAAACTCACTAAGCTAATCGCCCCTAAGAGGGCTCCCTACCGTTCTTGCCCTGCCAGCCCCGCCTCTCCCGATCTCGACAGCCCAGGGCCCTCCTCCCCTTCCTGCAAGGGACTGGGAGGGGTCGATCCTGATGGTGCTCGGGTATAAGGAGGGGACGCGTCAGCCTGGGGTGGCCGGCGGCCCCGAGCCCGGCGGCTGTGGTGCACTTGAAGGTGCAAGGCCATGAGCTCGGGGGCTCCAGTGGCAAAGGGGCAGAAGAGGCAACGATGGAGGGCGCCCCCCGGCCCGGCCTCGCCTCCTGGCCCAGCCCGCAGGGACAGGTCCAGGGGTTCGGCCTCACCGCCTCGCCCGTTGCGCAGGGTCCTCCCGGGGCTGGCGGGTTTCCGACGGGACCCCGGCCCGGCACCACTGGAAGGAGGCCGGGGGCTTGCAGTGCCCTCGACCCAGGCTGCAGGCTGCGGAGCCGACTTGGCTCCGGACGGCGGGGCCGAACCCCGCTGGGAGGTGGGAGGTGGCTCTGGGGGTGGCCCAGGGCCCGCCCCGCTCCTCTGCTCCCGGTGGTGACGCTGTAGGTGATACTTGAGCGAGCCGGACTGGGTGCCCGCGTAGTCGCAGTGCGGACACTTGTAGGGGCGCTCACCTGAGGAAAGTGGGTGGCATAGGGTCACGAGGTTGTGATCACTGCACACCCCCACCCGCATTTCGCTCAATTTACAGATCTTATTCTCAGGACCAGGAAAAAAAACACTCTCTCTCCCTCCCATTTTGATTTAATAAAGGCAGGTTTCTCCAGCTGGTCTCCTCTGGCCAATCTGAAGGCTTCCAAACGACGGTCAACTACCCGGCGTTTCCCGTAGCCCTCACCTTTCTTCCTGCCCTCCAGTCCCCTCCCCATGCCAGGAGATGCCTCCCTCACCTGTGTGCACTCGCAGGTGCACTTTGAGGTGATGCGCTGAGCGGAAAGATTTTCCGCAGAAGGGACAATCCTTTCCCGTGGCCCCCCGGCCCCCTTCAGGCCGGGTCCCTCCAACCAACAGCCCATTCTCTTCTGCAATATACAAGTCAAGAAGTCAGAGGGGCCCTTCGTCCTGTCTGGGCCATGCGCTCCCACCACCCCCATAACACTGCTTCCCCTCGGGGACCAGGAAGAAACAGCGGGTTGAAGGGAACCTGAAGTATTGAATTTGTTGCGAGTTAAGAATTAGTGTTCTCAGAAGACGGCAAAGTCTCCAGAAAAAATATAATAATAATTAAAAAAATCTCGGAAGAAATAAAAGGTCCTTTCTAAAAGGAAGCTACGGGAGAGTGGTGGCGTCAGCGTCAGCCAAGGATGAGGGATACCCGGAGAGAGGAAGGGCCCTACGTACCCTGCGTGGCGGTCGATCTTGCCTGGGCCCCCGTAGCAGGCGTAGTGTGCCCTGGTCCCTCGCCCGGACGTGGGTGCAGGGAAGCCACAGGGCCCAGCGACCTGCCGCGAGCCCAGGTCTCCTCCTCCGCCTCCACCACCTCCTCTTCCTCCTCCGGCTCCTCTGTGCGGTGCCGCCGAGCCCGGGCCGGGAGAGCAGAGGGCAGTGGGCGGAAGCCTCCAAAGCTGCGGCCGGCGCCAGGCTCCGCGCCCTCACCATTGGGCCGGCCTTCGCCAGCTCGCAGGCTCAGGTAGCCCAAGAGGCTAGGGGGCTCACGGCGCTCAGCAGGAGTGGGCGCCGGGGCCAAGAGGAGGGCTGGGCCCAAAGGCTCATAGGCCAGCAGGCCCAGATCAGGAGGTTGGGGGGCCCGGGCAGGCCCGGAACCGGGCCCCGGGGCACGCAGTGGACCCAGCTTGCTGGCGTGCACCTTCATGTGGTTCTTAAGGAACCAGGGCTCCTTGAAGCAGCGGCCACACACGGGACACGCATGATCGAAGGAAGCCTTGTGCTTGCGCATGTGGCCCTTGAGAAACCAGGACTGTGTAAAGCTCTGGCCGCACACTTGGCAGCGGAACTCCGGAGGTGCGGGAGGCTCCTCGGGAGCAGCAGGAGCGGGGACCGGGGTTGCCTCACGTTCGGGCTCGGGCTCCGGCTCCGGGGCCGATCTGGGTTCAGGCTGGGGTGGAGGCTGGGGCTGGGGTGAAGCGGAGGTAGCCGCCAGGGGGCGCTCGGGAGCCCCGTGGGCCGTCAGGCTGTGGTGCAGCAGCTCCTCCTCCTGGCTGGAGCCGAAACTGCATAGGCCGCACTTCCAGGGCCTGTGCAGGATGTGCAGGTGGCGTTCCCGCTCCGCCGAGGTGCGAAACTTGCCTTTGCAGTAGGGGCAACGGAAGGAGGACGATGAAGAAGCCTGGGGCGGCGCCAGACCCTCAGTGGCAGGGGTGGTCTGCATCCCCCCTGAGCTTCGGGCTCTCCCCAGTCGGGCCTCGCGCAGTAGCGCGCGCTCCTCCAACTCCAGCAACAGGCGTGCAGCGGGGCTACGTGGACGTTCGGGCTGGTGCGTGCGCAGGTGCGAGCGCAGCAGAGCCCGCTGCGCTGCGCGGTGACCGCAGTGTGGACACTGGAAGGCCTGGGAGCCTGGATGCGCCCGCAGGTGCAAAGCCAGGATGGAGTTGAACCGGAAGCGCTTCCCGCATACAGGGCAGGGGAAACGCCTTTCGCCTGCACGACTCTCAGACCAGGTCACTGCTCCCATCCCGGGCGACCCCGCGCCCACGCCTGGCCCGTTGGAGTAGCGCTGCAGATCCAGCTCGCCGTCGAAAGCAGGTGGTGACGGCGCTAAGTGGCCGCCTGGGGCACGGGGACGTGAGCCCTGTGAAGATGCGAGTAGAACAAAGGGTGGAGAACGAAGAGCTGTGGAGGAAGCAAGAGGATCCAGGGCCAGAAGAACACGAGGGAAGGTGGACTGGGGCCTGAACCAGGAACACCGGGTGCCACTCACCTCGGGAAGTTGGGGGATGGATGGGAATTGAGACGTTGGAGCCAAGGAGATAATTTCTAATAATGGGAGGTCAAAGAAAGAGGTAGGCAGGGGAGAAGTATGCAGTTATAAGTACTTGTAAGTTGAGGCCAGAGCTTCACTCACCTCCATGGACCCCCTTCACATTCTTTGGTTCTGGGGAGTGCAGGGAAGAGGAGGAAAAGCTGCTAATGAAGGCAACAGGTGCTGAGGAGCTAAAGCAAGAGAGACAGATTTGGAGGAAAAGATGAGCCCTGATTTTCAGCAGTGGAAAGAGTCACCCTCTACCCCAGAATTTTAGCACCTTGTATTCCTAAAACCTATCCCTTCTCCCTACTTGCATCTGAGGCACAGGAGGCTGCTGTACTAAAAAACTGTACCCCTTGATTTGCTAAGTCCACGAGGCTCCCTAATACCCCACATTTCTTCCCCAGATTGGACATTTTAAATGTCTTGTACAGAACCACCACCACTACCATCCCACCCCCTGGTGATAGGGAAACCATCACAGTATATACCCCTCTCCCCATTTGGGTTGGGCTGCACAGTGTGATGAACAAATGGGGTGGGCCTGCCATGCTCCCTAGTTGCTCTCAGACCCTTAACTGACCAGCCAGCCAAACATCCTTCCAGGTTCCACTGCTTCCTTCTGCCCTTACCCTGTATTTCTGTCTTTTCCCCCCTCATTCTCCCTCCCTCCGCCTGGATTCCTGATCCATTCATTTCCATTCATTACAGAGACTCATTCATGCATGGGAGAGAAACACCTCCCAGCAGCAGTGAGTCTGAAGACAGACAGAGGGGGAGGGGCATGAAGGGGGAGAGAGCCAGAGGGAGAGGGAATGAAGAGAGAGTTGGGGGAGGAGTGGAAGTTAAGGGGCACCGCCAGCCCGGGGAAAGGGTTAAAAACTGCAAATACCGTATAGGATTCATCCCCTTGTTTCAAACCTTGGAGCCTGTGGTATGATGGGGCATCTGAGCCCCTTTGTCCAGGGCTGTTCCGAGGCAGGCTTTCCTCCTCTCTGCAGGGGAGAGGCTCCCTCACACAAGAGGAGGATTACACTGGCTCTGAGCTCAAGAGGCTGGAGTGAGGGATGGGGGGCGGGGCTGGGCCATCTGCACAGATAGGGGCTCAGCACATGCTCTGAGCAGGAAGGGGTTAAAATTCTCCAGGCTAAAATTCCCTAGGCCTGGGACGTGCAGACCTCCAGTGCTAGGGAAGGAGAAGAGCACTGAGACGAAGAGGATGGGGTGGGAGTATTGCTGATTCTAAGCTGTAGAGGAGGTCACCATTAGGACTTAGAAGCAACCCCAGAATTAAGATTCATGGAAATAGGCCTGAGAGGATGACCAGAAGTCATCCAGTCTACCTTTTTGCCTCCATGCAGAATTGTATCTGGTCAAGGCTAAATGAATGTGGGCCTAACCTATTTTTTTGCATAAGATAGAAAGAATATTTGAGATATAAAGAACTTCCTTACAATAGGCATTATGAAACTGAAATGGGTTACTGAGAAAGAAAAGGATTCAAGCATTATTTAGCTTAAGGATCTTTAATAGAAGAGAACTGGGCCAAGAGTCAGCCCTGCTTATCAGCAGAGAGAAAAGGCTCTGGAAGTCCAAGGCTTCTTCAATTTTCAGCATTTAGTGGATGTGGTAAGACTCCATGAAGCGGAAGGTACCTGTTACATGTGGAATCTGAGCTATAGTAGCATTATTAGCAGAAGGTTAATTAACAAAGTGTCCTTGTCCAAGGGTTACTAGATGACCTCCACTACCATTTAATATGTGTCTTTCTATAGCTCCAAACTAGGGCATCCAGTCTCATCCTCTGGATTCTCCAAATAAACTCCTTTCCTTGGACTAAGAGCCTAGCTGGGCTCACTGAATAGTGTCATGAAAGGTGAGTTATAATAGGTCTGAGGGGTATAAGGCTATTGTGGGCCCAGTCTGACCATTAATAGCCCTACAACCTTCAGTAAATCACTTAACCTCCCAGTTTACTCATCTGTAAAATAAGGGGGTTGGACTAATTCATACTGATAGTCCCTTCCAGCTAGAAGAAAGTTTTGTGGTTCTAAGTCACAGGACCCTTCTGGACCCCAGAGAGATGTGAAAACAAATGGTCATTCCTTCAGTACCATGGAGAGTGCAGTGGGCTACCAGAGAAGCCACTTTGGCCACCTCAGTACCATAGATAGAGCTATGAAGGGATAGAGGGGCCCCGTTTGCCATTTTAGCATCACAGATAAGGCACTGAGAAAAGCTAAAGAATTTTTTTTTTTTAATTCCTATCTGGGAGCCGTTGGAAAAAAACCCCAGTGGTACCAGAGGGATTATTTTGGCCTTTTAGATATCACTGAAAATAGACAGAGGTAATAGAAAATAGATGTAACTAGAAGAATTTTAATTAGCTATAAGGAGTGTCCTGACAGTCACAGTTTGTACATCCTGGAATGAGTTACTGAGGCATCATATTTGGGTCCATCACATTCTGTTGCTCTCCTGGGGATTCCCGGAACATCCTGGTGTACAGCCAATCTGGTATATTCAGAGGAAGCAGATGGCAGAGAGAGGGGGAGCTGGGAATACTGCATGGTCATAGCTGACTAACCTATGCGCACATACTCTGATTCTGAGAAGATTCCAGGGCTCCTAAAACTGTCTTAGGATAGCAAGCAAAATTACTTCATGGGAAGCCGGCCTCATATCCGAGGCAAGAAAAGTAGGAAGAGGGCAAAGCTCCCCTCCCAAAACAAAACAACAACAACAAAAAACCACTTTGCACATAACAAGTTACAGGATGGAAATAGAGTAATATATAAGAAGGCCCAAACTGAAGCTGAATTCCCTAGCAGGGAAAGTTTCCTCAGAAGATGGCCTAAAATCAACAAACTCACTGAGAGACTTTCCTAGGCTCAGTCAAGATCTCCTGAATCATCTCCACACCAAACCAGGTTCCAGGTGTCTGAGCCCATGATTTTTTCTCAATAGAGCAAAGCACTGACAGGGACTGGGATTCTATGAACTGACTTGGAACCTAGGTCATGCATGTATTGCCAGAGGACAATAATCACAGAGTTTTCTATAGTCGGCCCTTAAACACTGCCATGAGACTTGGCCAGACAGTAGCACTGACCTACTTTCCACCCCCACTGGGAATCGGGGGTTATCTTGCCCTTATTTAGATTCCATAGGGATGCAAGGCCCAGGATAGGGATCAGAAATCTTTTGAAAGCCAACAGGCCAATTATTCTTACATGCTAGGACAGCACTGGTGGGGAAGGGGTGTGTGTGGACCATCAAACCTTACTGAATAGAGAAGGATGGAATGGTTGGTAAAAAGACTTAGAAACGACTGGTACATAGAAGCATCTGCTAAATGGACCACAAAGATTGTCCCTCAAGCTTTGTGGTTCAAAAGTTTTTAAGGGCAAAGTGTAAGGGGCAGGGGTTCAGGACTTCTGGGGTTTGGTTGTAACTAGGCTCTGTCTCTGGTCATCTTTAATACTTGATGTTTTTCCCTCTGTTGAGAAATCTACACCTCCCAAGTCTGCTAACAATTATGATTACCACTGCACTAGATGGGGTTAAAAGGAAAGGGAGCTTCTTAGGTGGTCTAGAGTCAAGACTACCTTGATCACACATAAGTATCAGTTGTTCACTTTTATGGTCTCCTCTCCAGGCCCTCTGAATCTCACTGCTCAGATAGCTCCTTAAAATCCACCCCGTTGCACAGTTTGCCTGCCTTTTACACCTAGTTCTCGGTAAAGCCTCCGTCCTTCCATCCTCACTCTCCTGAGTCAGGAGCATGGAACCTCAGTCATGGACTCCAAACGGACAGCAGGAGGCAAGGGGAAGGTACACCTGCTCACCTGCTGCCAACCCACCACGGTGAATCTTATCCCAGAGGCATGTCCTAACATGACCCCGATTCTGAAAGTTCTGGAGGACCTGGATTGGGGGAAGGGGGGAATGTAGCCAGCCCTAACTCCCCTTAACTGAAGCTGACCCTAGAAAAGTCAGTCTTAGCACCCACACGAGCTTCAGTCCTCAGACTGGGAAGTGGGGGACGTGGGGGGTGGGCAAAAGAGCCTCTGGGAAAATCCCCCTCCCAGAAATACGTTGGCAAGTAGGGTATGACCTGTGATCCCACACGAGAGGTTTTCCCAGCAGCACCTCCGAACCCTCCCGAGAAAGATAAGCCAGAAGGATGATGGGGGTTAGGGTTGGGAGATAGGGAGGCCAGGGCTCAGCTACCCCTGGCCAGGAGAACAAAAGCTGAGTTACAGCCGCCTCCGCTGCAGCCGCGGGCCGAGCTCTTTGTGACACTTTGTTTGGGACGCAGAGAGGGAGGCACCCCCCATCCTTTCCCCTCCTCCCACCCCCCCCACGCCCCGGCTCCCGGAGAGTTTGGGTTCCTTCCCCCTCCCCCACCAGCCCTACCTGGGCCGGGGGGCGCGCATCCACTCAGGCTCGCGGCTCAGCCGCCCCGCACCCCCCAGGCCCCTCGCGCCCTGCCTCGGGCCCCTACAAAGACACTCGCCACCCCCGCCCCCACTCCACCCCCGTTGGCCCTTCCCCTTTGGTGTCCGCTCCCCCGGCTCTTCCACCTGGCCCCCCCTCTCTCGGGGCCCCCCTAGCTCTCCAGGCTTCTGAGGCCGCCACCCCCAGCCCGCCCCCCCAGGAGCTCTGGGCGAAGTTTGCTTGGGGCCGAGCCGGCGCCCCTCCCCCGCCCCCGCCCCCTGCACCTGCTCCGAGTC